AAAAAAACGCACCTTCGCACGGGCAGCCCGTGCGTTGGCCAATTTTTTCCTTTTTTTTTGTTGAACTTTTTTCATCAGGGATATCAGTGCTACCCTTTCCCTCTTTGTGGACATCCCATATTCGTGTAAAGCAGAAGAATTAGTGCCCTGAGTAGCAGGCTACATTTCTTACGTGATTCGGGGAGTAGCAGGATCATTCAAACGAAACCGAAAAAGCAACAATTATGGCTTCTACCCGAAGAATTCATAAAAAAGATATGAGCTTAACAGTGCAAAATCAATCAAAAAGAATAAATTTTCGTTTAAAATAACATTAGAATCAACCAAAGTATGGTAATTTATTTTTCGGGAAATCAGAACCAGAAAAGTCGAGTTAGGATTTCAACTAAAAGATAAATACTGGACATACCATGTTGTTGTCAAAAAATATTTTTTTCATAAGGACATCTTAAAAGTAAGTTTAGCTTGGCTGAAATCCGAAAATCCCATTATTAGAAGTTAGACCTGAATATAATCTTCAATACTACAGTAGTTCGGTAGTTGTAAAGCTGAAGTCAAAAATCCTCGATTCTTGTCAAGGTCAACAAATTTTGGATATTAAGCGCCGTAAACTTTGAACAATTGCAGAAGCGTAATCACTGGCTACCATTTTTCGACCAAACGCTAACTGACATACAATCAATGCAGCCTGAGCAGATCACATATTTCCAAACGGACAGTGATGCTGTTTTGCAGCTTCGTACCAATTTGGAGCGTGAAATTCGGTTGAAATTTGACAAAAGTCGGCCGTATGGCATACCGCAATGGAACATACTTGCATCACGGTAAAATAGAATTCAACAAAGCAAGCATCTGACAACAAAAACTACCTTGTATAGGCTAACAAAAAAACGATTTGTTACAAATAATAATAGTAATAATAACAATGACAATAATAAAAGTTGACAGAAATAAAAATAATAATAACAGCAATAATGGTAATGGTAGCAATAATAATAGCAACAACAGAAACAGTAATAATAATGACGATAATAGTAAGAATGATAGCAATGATAATGGCTTTTAGGTTCAAAAACACAGGAGCTTAGTAAGACTAATCAAAGCGAATACCCTCTCCGAATTCACTTTCATTGCGGTGTCAAAGCACTTTAGAAATTATAAGAATTGCTGAAAAGGCGTCGATTGTTCTTTCTTTTGATGAAAATTCAGAAATTACTCGCAAACTGAGCTTAAAACTCGGTTTTCCGTGCTGCACAGAAACATTGTTTGTTTTCTAGGATGTTGCGCGAAAGCTTGGCCGAGATAGAAGCAAAAGCTGATGGGGAGCAGGAACGGATTGTTTTAGCGCAACTACCTGCATCATACCACGTGAATGCGGTTGCATTTCGGCAGAGTTACAGTTCAGCAGAGGAAATCATCGAGAGAGTGTTGGCATTGCGAATCCATGAAAACACGGATCGCAATGTGCAATTTGCATTTGCCATACATCTGCAACCGTTTACCAATAATATTTTGTCATGTTCTGTCGCTGTTGCTGCACTGAAGCCTCTGGTAAATTAATTTACAAGTAGTAGCTCCCTTAATTTAGTTGTTGCAAAAAAATGCTACTGTGGAACTTCTGGAAAGAAGCCGCGACCTCTGTTGCTGATGGACTGTTTTTGCTTTTCATGGAAGGATTTGTAATCGAAGGATACGACATTGCTTTTAGACGGCGTAAGCAGTTTTGTCTCGAGGAACTAGTTTGTGCAGGGAGGGGATGAAGCAGTTCAAATTCGACAGGCCCAGGCAATCCGACGCGTCAATTATTTTGCATGTTTTCAAATTTCTGGTTGCCTTGTGAAGATTAGCTAGTAATAAAGCT